ACCTCCCCAAAAGCACCTTTCCCAATAATTGTTAGTAAATCAAAATCATCGACACCCATTTTGTGCCTTTGGAGGCGCATGTATTCAGTTTCCTTCTTCTCTAAAAATTTAAGTAAATTGGTTTGATCTTCTTCAGAAACATCAGCATCAGCCAACTTCTTTTCCAATATATTTCGTCTGCATCCATAAAATTTATAAACAAAATCTTAAATCCATTAGGAACTTACTCAAATAAGAACCTATAGGCTACAACTTGGTTGTTTTACATGTTTCTAAAAAATCAGGGGTAGAAAGTGCAAAAACAACTCTTATGAATTATGTGCAAATTATACACTTTATATTAATATAAAATAATGAGAGAAAAAAAACTTGACTAACTATTCCAAATTGTTTGTCTTCATTTGATTTGGCTCCCGACTACTAATTTCTTTGGAAAATAACATAATAAACTCATGCAGACTCCTGAGAATATTTTTTTTTTTTTTTTTAACAAGATACGAACTTTTCAGTGAAGGAATGAAAAGGAACAAAATTGTTCAATAAGACTTTTGAGAATATTTCTATCACATTAAGGAACATGGATAATTAAAAATTTGAGAAAATTATGAGTGAACTCCAGAATAGGCAAGCTTTTCTTCAAGGCTAGCAAAAAGTTTCTCTATTAAAATCCAAATGGGTACTTGTAAGCATAGATATCTGGATGACTCAATTAAATATGAAGAAAAAATGACAAAAATAAGACTCTCTCAAAGTTGAACTCAAAAGTTGTTCATTTCTTAAAACAAAAAACTTGTGAACGAATGTTTAAAGTAACTACTTTTTAAGTTGTTTTCGCATTAGTTCATTCTCAAAGTGACCTGTTTTTTATAGAATAACTAAAAATGAATTTTCCTTGAAAAATTACAAGCTTGTGGATGTGGCTATCTGACAACAAGTCTATAAAATAGTTCTTGAAAACTATTATGCAAAACAAACTGTCAACACCCTATTTCACAAGTGAAAAATATTTTGTAGGCAAGCATCATATTGTAAATCTAGGTTTAAAAGCTACAAGTTCTGCTTTCAAGACCATGGAGACCTTGACACCTTTTTAAGCTTTATGATTTATAACAAGATGTCAAGTCTAGAAGAAATAATACAGGCTTTAATGATTAATAAAGCATTTACATGAAACTATAGTTTCTTAATAAAAGTAAATAACAGAAAACCTTAAGTTGCAATGCTCTACAGTTGTTAAACACACTCCCAAAAGTCATTAACATTGACAAGTTAATCTCAAGAAGTAAGAATAAAACTTAGCAATGTAAGTCAAAGGACTCGACAATTGGTTCCTATCGTCTCAAGAGGAATGAGACGTGAATGGAGGAATGAGCTGAAAACTTCTTCAAAGAAGAATCAAAAGGTGTGAAACAGAGGATGCTTTTGAGTGAGTGTGTGTCTTGGAGGGAGATCAATTGAGAGAAGGATACTTCTTTGAGCAGGAACAATGAAGGAAGGGTTTGAAATGAAGATTCTTGGAGGAAAATAGATAAGCATTTGTTGTGAGAAAACAAATAGTGGATTCAATAGTAGTGGCAAACAAGGTACTTGACAAAAAGAGAAAACAAGAAGAGGTGGCTATTCAAAATATAGTTGGCATATTCAAAGGCTCTATCAATTTTTGTGAAAGCACTTACTTGGACATGCCAAGAAAAAAGAAGATGGACTAACATTATTGACTCCGTTGAATAGTTCTATGGAGCAATGACGGAAGAGGTTCTAATGGCGCACCATCTATGGAAAGAAGCTTCACATTGTTGGTTGAAAGGGTGAATCAACTCTTCAAGAGATAGGAGTCGGAGAGAACATTGAGACAACCACAACCAGCATTACAGGGGAACCCACAAAAGGGAAAACAACCCGTGAATTTGGAAAGATAGTATATCAACAAAAAGAAGCTCTATTTTGGGTAGTCTAAGTAGAAGTACCTTGGGCACATAATCCAGGGGAGGGGTACCAGCTGATCCTACCAAAATTTCAGCCTTGCTAACTAGGCTAACACCCTAAAACTTTAGGATTTTTTTTTTTTTGTTGTTGATATCTGTGAGTGTCCGGACCAGCTTACGCACACCTTGACTAATCTCACGAGGTAGTCACCTGACCCTTTAACATTTAGTGTTGGAAGCACATAAGAATTAATTCCTAAGGAAAGTGGTCATCATAGAATTTAAACCCATTCCCTCTCACTTTACCCTAGCCCCTTTGGACCAATCAACCACCCATGATGGTTCCCTAAAACTTGAGGACTTGCTATTCTGTTTTATAAATATTCATGAGTATCCAAGCTAGCTTGCGCACATCTCAACTAATCTCAAGTTACACAAAAACTATAAGATATTAAATCGTAGATAGGTGACTATCATGGTGTGAACCCATTTCTTCAAGCACTTGGACCATTAGACCAACCCACGATAATTAGGTCTAACTAACTATTATCATAAGTAAATGGATACTTCAAGATATGTCTTAGGGTGGTCATAATCAAAATTCACAACCTATTGCTTATTTCTAGCCAAGTGTTATCATCAGGAGTATGACAAAAATCCAAGTGAAAGAATTGATTGGAAAAGTAAAGGCCACACCCCTTGGGCGGGCCGTATATCTATGAACAACAATGACTAATAAAAATCTTGAAGGTACCTTCTAGAGTAACTGGAGCATAAAATGTGGCTCACGAAATTATTAGGATATGACTTTGAAATTCATTACATACCTAGGTTGGAAACACAATCGTTGATGGCTTATCAAGATTCCCCATGGCTGTCACCTTAGCATTAATCTTAGTGGTGCAATATGAGCTCCTACCACTAATACATCAACAAGTAAGCGAAGATCCATTCCTATCTAAAAATTAAGGCTGCAATATTGGAAGGAAATAGTTCCTATAGCTCTCATTTTTCCAACAGAACATGATTTCCTAAAGTATATGGAGCATCTCCTTCTTTTTCTCCTTGATAAAGAGAGTCAGAAAGGTTCTCCACCAATCCCAACTCTTTTTAAAGAGTACCACTGTATCTTGATGAGTAGCCATGCAAAGGAACTTAAAAGCTTAAGCAATGGTATACGTTACACCTATTTGTACTGAGAGGGGATATGGACGACTATAAAGGGTTATGTAGCCAAATGTGAGGCCTACCAAAGCTGCAAATACTTGCCAATATCACATGTAAGTTTGCTCCAACTTCTCCCTATCTTTGAATTGCCCTTGCAACGAATTTTATAGATGGGCTGCCAATATCTGATGGGAAGAATACTGTTTTAGTGGTGACTTACACTTGCTCACCCTGAAACATTCCTAGACAACTCATTCAGTTGCACAATTGCTAGTTAAGTAGTATGCTTGTATGAGATTCCCTAGTCAATGTTGTTAAATCTGAAAAGATATTCATTAGTAGATTCTAGTGCGAATTGTTCAAGTTACAAGGACAAATTAAAAAGGACCACTGCCTAGGAAAGTTTTGAAGTAACATCGTGTTGGGAAGAAATGCAGGAGCATCTGTTTTTCTCTCGCCAATATAGTTCAAAATGTTGGTACAATCTGCATACGACATTCAACCTATACCGTAATCTCAACTGGTTGGGGATCAATTGAAATGGAGGGCCAAGATATTGCAGTCCAACCCAATTAAAGCTACTCTTTGGCACATATGGCACCCAGAATTTTCAGGAGAGAAAACTGGAGATGGGCTGATACTTTCTATCTAGCTAAATACAATATTTCTCCAGTGAAGTCTCTCATATACGTTTTCAGATTACACTCCCACTATAATGAATTAATTTTCAAAAGACAAAAAGGAAGCAACCATACCGTTCCTTTCTCTCCTGCAGATTTTTCATTTGCTCCTTGTAATGGTTCTCGATATACTGCTTCGCCGCAGCAACCTTCTGCTTTGTGATATTAGAGAGCGCCTCTTCATCTGTCTGTTCCGTAGAATCCTCATTTCCTCCCATACTATCCTTCTTCTTTGAAGAACCCCTCAACCTATCTCTTGGTTGAAGCTTATTAAACCAACTCCTCGCCGAATCCATTTCTCACTCGGATCAAATAGGAATCTCAAGAACCATTAAACATCCCTCGAACAAAAAATTGACCAAAACTACAAAAGAAAGCAACCGAATTATTCTATTCCCAAAATGTCGCCACCTCAATCCAGCGCCGAAATGAACCGTAACATCCTCCGGCCAATTTGAAACCCAATTCCAAAAATCAACAAACAATCACGTCAGAATCGAACCAACAGTGAAAAGGGGTTGTCAAGAAAAGTCTGGAATCTTACGAAAGGGGGTAATTCTTGGAAGAAATGTGGAACGAAAACTGTTTGAGATTTCAAGTAAGAGGCAAAGAAGGCTGAGAATCCGGAGGACCGCGGAACTAAAAATAAAATGGCGAGCAATTTGAGACATGAAAGGGGAAACATGATCCAGATATGGGGAGTGAGAGAGAGAGAGAGAACCATTCCAGCATTTTCGTTGCGCCTTTCAATTACAGCTGATTGGGAAGAAACTGCAATGACTTTCCCCGAAATGGTCTCTCTTTCATGATTCATCTACCGTTTATTTTCTGTTTTCTTCCAGCTTCTCTGCTCTTCTTCACGTTGGCATAGATTGAAGGCAGTTTCAAGCTCATCTTTTATGAATTTTGGAGTTCATAAAATATTGAGGTAGCACTTTGATTAAACTAATAATCGGAAATATGCGGCTCCAAACTCACAGCGAGCGATATATGTCAATTTATCGATTAAAAAAATTTATGATTAGATGTGCAAATTATATTCTAAACAGACTTTTTTTTTGTGCTAATATGCCGTGTGATTTTATTTTGATGAGTTTGTCTCGTTAATATTTTGATGGATAGTATTGAGTATTTCATATATAGCTAATATGAGTCTAGCCTTTTTATTGAAAAATGAAATAAGATAGGGTCATAACTCGACGCTAAAGATCGATGGTTAGAAAAAAATATATTTTTTTAGTTCAACAATTGTAGGGTACGGGGGATTGAATCATCAACTTTGAGAATTATTATGGGTGTCTTGTCTTTTGAGTTATACTTGAGTTGATAAATGTAAAAGTTGTGTAAGTAGGGATCTAACCATCAAGGTTTTGCATTTATAAGAGAGTAATATAGATGTCTTATCAACTGAACTATGCTCTAATCGGAAAGAATGTCCCTTTTTTATAGTCTAACAAGTTTTTTCTTTTCATTATAGGTAGACTTTTATCTCGTTGAATAGAAAATTAATAGTTCATACTTACCAACTTGAACATAATTCAACTGATTAAGACGTATATTCTAAACTAAAAAGTCAGAGGTTCGATTCTCCATCCCACATGTCGAAATTATAAAATGACATGTAATTTATTTAAATCAAAAATTGAAAAATGATACGAGTATAATAGTATCTTTCTTGAAGTTTAAAGATTAAGCAGAGATAATCCTCAAACCTTTGGAGACTTCCCTCGATTAGCTTGCCACTCACAGAAGTTTTGGAAAAACAGGGAGAATTCTAGACTTGTATGAGAAGGCAACAAAGCAACTTTAACAAGTACTTACCTATTTGCATTTGGTAATCAATTTATCATAAGATTTTAGAACTAACTTTTGGAAAATATCCCAAGGGTGTGGTCAATCGTGGAAAATATTTGAAAATTTCTTTTTCTTTCTTGCTTTTTCTTTTTCCTTTTTTTTTCTTTTATAGAATATGTTCCTTCACACATGGAAAAGAAAAGGATCCTTCGTGTCAAACTAAATCTTTAAAAAACAAGGATGATGATAAGACGGTTCCTGAATATGCACTCTCCACTCTCAATCATGCGGTTATTGTTGGTAAATAATCGCTGTATATGTAAACTGAATAACACTGACAAACAATTTACAACGTAACTGGTTACCAACAATTACAAATCTTGACAACTTGATGAACACCAAAACTTGATAAATATAATCAAGACAAGCTTCAATAGCACTGATTTGAAAGACAATTAGCAGACTACATCGATCGTTTCAACAGGATACAACGACTAACTTTGATAGAACTGCAACCTCAGACTATTCGGATCTGACAATACTTTTAGACACTTTCTCTCAACACAAACAAGAACTAAAGAAGAGAGAATTGTTTGAGATGAGGAGAAAGTCAAATGAGAATACTTGATATCTCAAATGAGAAAATAACAACTATATATAGTTAGTAACTTAACACATATATAACCTTTTTTTACGAATCCTTTTTTTACGAATGTAACTTTAACAAAATTAAGAAACAACTCTTTATTTAAATATACAACTTCAATTTCAATAAAATGAAGAAAGGTAACAACTAAAGAAATAAATAAACAATTGATAAACAAAATGGAACAAAATTCACAACGTATATGTGAATTAAAAGTTACAAATTTAATTTCCAGATATTAAATTTGTAATGTTCAATTGTTTATCAATATTTCAATTCCCACTTTCTTTCGCACTTTAAAAATTATTAGCCTCCCCATCTCCCGACCCATATTATCCAGTTTGAAGAGTTGAAACAAAAAACATGGGGATGGGTCAATACTACCTATAAAATGACCTATCTGATCTTTACTTGAACATTTTGCCTTCAAAGTGTACAATTAGATTATAGTTTTTTAAAGTTTTTTTTAATCATTGATATTTAATTTTGGGTGCTTGCAAAAGTAGCAAAAAAAAAATTAATAGGAATTTACAAAAGTAGCCGCGAGTTTTCAATTTTACAAAAATAATATAATATGGAGATCCAACTCACGTAGAAGAAAACAAAATTCCAATATATCCTTAATGACCTTTAATGAATACAGAACCGAAACAACAATATACTTGATATACTAATAGTATACCTGATATATATACTTGATTCGATATGTTATTGATATTCCTAATTATGAGTGTTAATATATCAATGATATGCTTAATATACTTGATATGAATATTGATAGATATATCAATGATTTACCGAATACATTACTTCTCTTTATTATGTTCAATTTTTTTCTTATTGAATTATGTTGTGTTATTTACAAATTTTAGATAAAATGCATGTCTTTTATAACCTAAACGTGTGTCTTCTATATCTAATATGAATATTGATATATTATTGATATACATGTATTTGATTATGAGTGCTGATATTAACCAATAATATTGCAGAATCCATATATTGTTGGAAGAATCAACAACACTAATATATTTGATTATGAGTCTTGATATGCCAACGATATATTTATTTGATATATTATTGAAATACTTGAAAATCTAGAGGGGTAAAATTAGAATAACTAAAAAACCGAAAATAATATTTCAAATATTTTGCTGCAAAATCTCCAAACTATTGTTATATTTAAAAATATAGCAATATTTTCCTCTTGAGTACCCTTTGTACTTCAAAATGCTATACAATTTTATGTGCATGACGCGTTTATTATCAGGGTTAATAAAAACAACAAAATTATATTTTTAATGAAAAAGATTGATATTTATATGATTTAGTAGTTTGAATAATTAATTTTTGAAAATATAAAATATCTTTTTATTAATAATACAATAGAAAAAAATAATAAATATACATTTAACAATTTAAAAATCCAAAGTTAGGGAAGGATTAATGTGAAGGAAAGAAATTTATTTCTAGCGAAAAAAAAGGTAGAAACTTTTTCTTTCTCACTCAGACCTCATTTCAATTCCATTGTTTTCTACGCTCAATTTAGGATGGTCCCCTCGACCTCCCGACCTTATAAAGACTATTCCTACATGAATTGGAATAATGAAAAGAAAAAAGAAAAAAAAAAGAAAGAAAAAACTTCAAAAGAAAGTTCTTATATAAAAAAAAGAAAAAAAGAACCAGCAATTGAAAATATATAGTCCATGAGTAAATTTTAAGCTTGCACATAATTTTTGTAGGGTCTCTCCCAAGAAAATACATTTGAATTATAATCTTAAAGGGAAGGTTCTTGAAAGGGAGTATCATGAAGGGTGGGGATAGCCCAAGTTCATAAAAGTTATAAAAAAATAACATGTTATTTTTCTTGTTTCTTATTATTATTATTTTTAATAAATAAAAAAGTTATATGTGATGTTTTTTATTATTGAAAAAAGAAACATAAACATGTTTGGTTATTTGTTCTTTAAAATTGTAAATTAAAAAAAAAGAATTAGACAATTAATTTTTTATATTGAATATTAAAATTTTGTAGGTTATATTCATTTTTTAACCAAAATTTATCATTAAATTGTATAGCAGATCTGTATGGGTAGTGTGATTCTGTGGTTGAGTTCGCTCCCATCATATTGGTTTTTGAGATACATGAGTTTGAGTAAATTTGTTGTTCACTCAGACGTAGAGTTTGACGGATTGTTTGAAGTGTCTCTATTTTTATATATAGGGAACATAATTTCAAAATGGGCGTGCTTATCGTTCGGCCACATTTACTTTACATCTTGTCCAAAGTGATGTGTATTTTCGTGTTATCATTATTAAAGGTAAATTAACAAATGGTAGAGACTATTTTTAAGTTAATGAAAGTATAGAGATCATATTTAAATATTTAAAAGTATGAGGGTAAAAATAAAAAAAGTTTGGGAATGAAGGACTAAAATGATAATATGAGATGACTTAAAAGTCAACTTGTTAGAGATTAGAGAGATTCTTTGAACGAATAATTACAAATTTTTGCAAAGAAATTTTCATCAATATCAATTAGAGTAAACTCCACGATCCTTGGAGCCATTTACACTCAATCGTAATAGCAAGACCCCTGTTTTTTTTTTTTTTTCCTTTCTCCTTTTCCATGGGATGATACAATTATTTTTCATTTCTTGATTTTAATTTTTAGAAATTGAAGTGTTTGGCAACATTTTTTTTTCCTCCCTTATTTTTCCGATCCAAATTGCATACAAATTTTGGAACACTCAACGTCAGTTTGTTTTTCTTTCTTGAAACAAAAAATATGAAATAGGAAACAAAAAAAAAATAAAAAAGAGGTTCTTAATCTTACCTTTCAATGACTCAAAAACGAATCTCCATATTTTTTTGAAAATAATTCTTTAATCTTTAATTAGCAGGAAAATTAAAATACTAATTTTAAAATCATACACGGGAAAGAATTGACTTTAGTTTATTAGCCTAATGTTGCTTCGAATGAATAGATAAATATTTTCTCAACTATACCTTTCAAAATAGTAGATTTTGGTAAAATACATAAGATAAATCGGTTAGTAGTCGTTTAATGCTGGCTTCGCACAAATAGTTTTGTCCAGCAATTTTCTTATCATGTTTAATGACGATAATTGACTTTTGTAACTATCGAAGAAGTTTTTTAAGTATGTTGTCTCAAAAATTATTTGCAAACGATCAAATTTGACTATTAACTTTGTCAGGTGATTGCACCATATTACAAATTACTTACTACTAAAATAGGGCAGGAGAACCATATTCCCCTCGTAAATGCTATCACATCTTGATCAGAGGCTTATCCCAATTTTCCCAAATTAATAAGATTTTGTTTTCAATGTGTGTATATATATAATTTTTGGTAACTAAATAGTTAATTTTATTAATGATATTTCAAAAGTGCATATTTAAATAACCTGTATTTGTTAAGATATATATTCTAAACCAAAATGTCGGATGCTCAAATTTTCACTCTCATATATTATACTTAAAATAAAGTACACAGTGTATATTGAACTTCAATATGTTTAAACTCGTTAAATATATTGGCTAGTGTGGAATCCACTAGATAATATCTCATACATAACTTATCGCGAGGGAAATTTTTAAGTAATACGGAGTGTCATGCTCCTTTCCATTCACCGCTTGCCACGTTAATTAGCTCAACACTATACTAAAATTAACGTGAGGTCTGTTATTTCCATGTATATTGTGTAAACAAACTGAGAGTATGATACTCTCGTCGGACTTTTTTCCTTAATTTCTAATCCATTTATTATATTAATGTTTGAAACCTACCAAATAGGATAATGTCCCACCACATATGCCTCAAAATCATGTTATTGTATTTTTCATTCCTTTTCTCTCTCTCTCTTTTTTCCTTCATTTTTCTCACTCAATCATTCTTCCAAATCTCCAACATTAAGATAGGAATAATAGGAAGTTTATAATAACTTTGGATATAGTAATACTTCTAAATAAAATACTTTCCTATATTTACTTTGTGAATAAGCACAATTAAAGTTTTAGAAACATTTTAAAGTTTTTTTAGAATTTTTGAAAATAACTTTTTGATTATCTAACTGAACACTATAAAAATTTAGAATATTTTTAGAATTTTAAGATGAACTTTTAATTATACAACCAAACACAGATAGGAAACTAGACGGAGGTCTCGTTTTGTTTTTTGTTTTTTTTTTAACATTGTCAAACAAAATAATCTTCGTTTTGTAATAAAGTTTTAATATTTATCTTCATTTTATTTTCCCCAACCTTCACGGCTCAATGAAAAATTCAAACCTAACAAAACAACCCTCACTTATCAGCTTCAATCATTTTCAATCAAATGACCTAAGATTGCAATACACGTCCAAAGAAAAAATATCGGTTTATTATCTTTTATCCTCCAACTCAAGGTTGGTGTCT